GCAGGTGGCCGAACAGATCATCAACCCCTTTGGTGAGGATGACGATGACTTTGAAACCAACCAGCTCATCGACCGCAACTTGCAGGTGAGTCGCGGTGCGGGGACAGCGCCCTGCTGTGCAGGACGGGAGGACCTGTGTGCCTCGCTGCCCACCCCAGGTGTCCCTGCTGTCCGTGGATGACATGTACCAGAACCTGCCTCCGGCGGAGAAGGACCTGTACTGGGACGAAGGCTCGGTGCAGCCGCCCTACACTGTGGCCACGGTGGCCGAGTCTCTGAAGCCTTCCTTTCTGGGCTCAACTTTCAACCTGCGGTGAGTGGCCCCAGCAGGAGGGCCCAGGTCCCCGTCCAACCCCTCCATCCTGGGTCCTTCCCACCCTCTTCTGGAAAGCAAGTCCACCCCGTGGGCCTGCGTTGAAGGTTGCTCATGCGGTCCTCTTGTCCTCTCGCCCGCAGCGTGAGTGAGGACCCCGAGCAGAGTCTGCAGGTGGAGGCGACCCCCGCACTGGCTCGGCACACGCCAGCCGCCCAGACCCCGCTGCTCAGCCGCGTCCTGGGGGCAGGAGCACCCTCCCCTGCCGTCAGTCTCCGGAACTTCGGCTGGACCCGAGGACCTCCCCGGACCCCTCACCTGCTGCGCCCCAGGGCCGAGGAGGGCGGAGACCCCGAGGGCTGCATTGAGGAGGCGGACTGCATGGAGGAAGAGGCGAGTCCAGAGGACCAGGCCCAGGAGCCATGAGCAGAGGCAGTCGGAGCCCCAGGCGCCAACCCCCACCCCCACCCGTCCCTTCTCTCCCCTCTCTTCCGGTGTGCTAGGAGCAGGAGCATTTAGGGACCGCCTTGAAAGAGGAAGATGGAGAGAAGGATGAGCTAAGGCTTGGGAGCGTGTCCACTTTGATGGGAGGTGGGGTGGATTCTTTGGGGAAATGAAGCTGAAGGACACATGGACGGGGCATGGAGGCGCAGCCGCAGCCCAGGTGCAGTGAACTTCCTCAGCAATGGGGGGCCAGGCCAGTTCTCAGTCTTGAGGGAGCATCAGCATGACTGAAGGGCTCATTAAAAAGTCTAGGAACTGCCGAGACCGGTTTGGCTCAATGGATAGAGCGTCGGCTTGGGGACTGAAGGGTCCTGGGTTCGATTCCGGACAAGGGCATGTACCTCAGTTGCGGGCATATCCCCAGTAGAGGGTGTGCAAGAGGCAGCTGATCGATGACTCTCTCTCATCGATGTTTCTAACTCTCCCTTCCTCTCTGTAAAAAAAATCAATAAAATATATTAAAAAAAAAAAAAAAAAAGTCTAGGAACCACTCTCACCGTTTCATTACATCTGGGATAGAGCTCAAGGATCACAATTTGAGTCATACAAGAGATGTTTAGAATATACCCTATCCTGAGAACCTGACTCTGAAGATGGGTCAAAATGTGTGTGTTGGGCATTTTTGCTTTACCTGTGATGTTTTTTGGTTTATAATGAGAATATATCACTTGTGCAGTTCCAGTCGTTTAAAATGGGATTGGCATGCTGTGTGGTGAGATAAAGGGTTTGGGAATCATGCTGGAGGTTGATTAAACTCCGATGTGAAGGCAACCATACATACACCACCCAGCCCACACTTCCAGCCAAGCCCTTCTCCACTCCCACCGAACAAATGTGGAGAATGGATAAATTTAAGGGATGAGTCCTAGCCAGTTTGGCTCAGTGGACAGAGCGTCAGCCTGCAGACTGAAGGGTCTCAGGTTTGATTTCAGCTGGGGGCAGGCTCAATCTCCAGTGAGGGGGGATGTGGGAGGCAGCTGATCAATGATTCTCTCATCATTGATGTTTCTCTCTCTCCCATCCGCTCTGAAATCAATAAATATATTTTAAAAAACATTTAGGGATGAAAGTTGTCTATCCCCACGGTGCTGCTGTGCTGGGAGCACTCAGTTCGGGGTTGAGAGAACCAGGTTGGAGTCATTGGTAAACTGAGCTCCTCTAAGGCTCCAGCAAATAAATTGGCGAATATCAAAGCTGATCATAATGCCCAATGAGGCCAATGCCAGGACCGAGGTGAAGCAGTACACAGGCAGAGGTTTAGTGCAGCTGGTGGCATTAGTCTACAGACTCGATCATAAAGCTGGTTTTGCTCTTTTCCTGCTCCATGATTGTGGGATAGTGAACATTTCAAAGCCTCACAGTGACCGAGTCTGTAACATGGACAACAGCACCTCTCTAAGGCAGGTGCGTTTTTTGCTGGGTTTTCAGGGGAGGTAGCCTTGCTCTAAGGCAGTTTCCCAAACTTTTGACATATGTGTACTCCTTCTATAGTTTTCGTAATGTTGAGCACCCCTCGTACTCATGAGAACGTAGAATTAGGTGCAGCTAAGCACGGTGCAGTGCATACCCCCACCAAACTCTTCCCGTACCCCTGGGGGTACGTGGACCACACTTTGGGAAACACTGCTCTAAGGCAAGAACAGTCATCTGTGAAGGCAGGGGAGACTCCTTAGAACCTACTGGTCCTACCGCCGGATGAGGTAGATTTGCAGCTCAAATTAGAAAAGGCAGAGTGCTTATAGTGTTTTGAATTTTGTCTGTCTTTGTTTTTCCTGGAAGCCACCCCACTCCCTCACCACCCCAAGAGGAAAGGCGAAGTGCAGGGCGCCGCTCTCAGTAACCGTTAGCTATTAAGGTGGCACGTGAAGACCCTCACTCGGTAGGAAGGCGAAGGCTAGGTCTCCCCAGAGCCAATGGTAAGATTTGAGGTTTGGGTTTTTGTCTTTGAGTTGTTTTGGGGGCTCATCTTTTGGGTCTGCAAGTTAGCCAAGTTGATCAGTCAATTGGATTTTGCACTCATTTGGCTCATAAGATAGGTATTTGTACTTTCATACAACTTTAAATTGAATCAGGTCTTCAGGAACTCATTAACTTAGCACATATGAGTGCACTTTCTCAGATACTGGAGACACAGCAGGAAACAAGTATCTGTTCCTTGAGTTGTATTTTGAGGAAAGAAAAAAAATAATAAAGTTTATGCCAAGTGAAGGGATAAGAAAAACAGAGGCAAAGGACAGTGTGAAAGGAACTGCAATTTCAAATTGTGACCAGCCTAGCCCATGTGACTCAACAGCTGAGCATCAATTTAGGCACCAAATTGATGGTTCAATCCCCTTTCAGGGCACATGCCCAGGTATCAGGCTCAACACCCAGTGGGGATGATGCATGCAGGAGGCAGCCAATCAATGATTCTCTTTTTTTTTTTTTAAATGGAGAAATACATACTTCTATTTTTAAAAGGTAATTTTTAAATTGATTTCAGAGAAACATCAATAATGAATCACTGATTGGCTGCCTCCTGTACACTCCCTACTGGGGATTGAGTTGGTTTTCCATTGATTTTTAGAGTAGGAGAGGGAAACAGAAGTATCGATGTGACAGAAACACATCTATTGTCTGCTCCCCTCACATGCTGACTAGGGTCCGGGCCAGGGAGGCGCCTGCACCCAAGGTGTGTGCCATTGACATGAATTAAATCCAGAACCCTTCAGTCTGCAGAGCTGACCGATGCTCTATCCACTGAGCCAAAGCAGCTAGGGGTATCATCAGTATTTGTCTCTATCCCTCTCTAAAAATCTATTCACATTTTTAAAATTGTGATCCAAGAACCCACTAGTCAAAGACCTGGAAGTCATGTGGATATCTGAAGTGTTCATAAATTAAAGTCAGATGGTAGGCACTATAGAAAAGGACCAGTCACATTTTCAGTCTTTAGTAAGGATTTTGAGATGGGAAGTGATTTAAAAAAACAAACAAAACAAAAACCCAATTTAAAAAAATAATCATTGATTACTAGGGTTTCACTGGGTACAGCAGCAGGAACATTGAGAAATAAGATACTAAAAAAGGGACCAGAATGATCACGGTGGCGTTACAGGTTGAACCAAGGTTTGATGACATTAGATGAACCTGCTGACATCGAAGTGCAGGTGTCAAGTAGGTCTGTGCTAGCTCAAGTCAGAAAGATAAACATAAACTTCATTAAATGCTGGTGTTAGCCCTAGCTGGTATGGCTGAATAGGTAAGAGTGTCAGCCCACAGACTGAAGGGTAATGGGCACACGCTAAAGATGTGGGCTCGGTCCCCAGCGGAGGGCGTGCAGGAGGCAGCTGATCAAAGATTCTCATCCTTGTTTCTCGCTCTCTGAACTAAAAAATTATTGGCATCCTAACATACTTTCTAGGGCAAGGGGTTAGTGCTTAAGAGAAAAATACAACCTGCTCTCAACAATGCAGAAATTTTGATTTCTTTTTTTTTTTTTTTTAAAGGCCGGTCAAGTGAAGCAGTGGGGGTGGAGAAGGAACAAAGAAATCTGTAACTGGCTGTGATCAATTAGTTGTAAGACACCACTGCACTCGGACCAGACAGAAATTTTGATTTCTAGATTAAAATAAAGCCCCCCCCACCCCAATAAAGGTCCAAGGGGTACAGGATCTCTAAAGGAGCTAACTGTTGAGGCAATATTGCTTCAGGTCATTACAGTCATGATCAACACATCAATACTGTGGAGGCCTTAATGCTGCAATACCTCCCTATATAGTCTTTGCTTGGCCTGCAAGCTACACGTCACTTTGGGGTGAGAAGTTCCCTTTACCATATATATTTTTAAAATTCTGACCCAAGAACATTTTTTTCCATTGATTTTTAGAGAACGAAAGGAAGGAGGGAAACATCAATGAGAAAGATGTATTGTTTGGGTTGCCCTCTGCATGTGCCCTGACCCAGGCAGGGGATTGAACCTGCAACCCAGGTAGGTGCCCTTGACAGGTTATCAGTGTGCAGGTTGATGCTCTAACCACTGAACCATGCTACCCAGGGCCCCCCTACTATATTGAAATAGCCCTCAAGGGAGAGGGATTTAGAATACTTCTAATAGTGTGCTGATCAAGTATCAAGACAACGTGGACACAGAACCTAGCACACACACCTTTATTACATGAGTTAACACAGGAGAGAAGAGGGTTTATTTGCCTTTCCGGGCCTTGATTTTCCTCAAATAGAACTCCAGCTCCTTGCCCTCGAGCACATAGCCATCTGCTCGGCCACACTGGCCTGGTCTTGAAGCGATGCATGCTGCCGAGAGAATATGTGGTCCTCAGCAAAACAGCAATGTGCCCTTACCCGTAGCTATGTGCCCTTAAAAGCTACATTGACTTAGGCATGGGGGTGGAGGGGGGGCAGGCACAAAACCTGTTGTCTCCTCAGATACACTTTATCGTCACTTAAAGTCAGTAGCAGAACTGGACAAAGTTTTCATCACTGAGACAGCCCCCATGGCCTGGGCACTCACTCCTCCGAATACTGCTCACTCAGGCCTCTGGACTCCTGCCCACCATGACCGATTTTAACTTCACACCAACGGGTTGACCAAACGGTGATTTGTATACTGCTGTTATTAAACTGTCCTGTGAACCCTCTAGACTACATGGCTGGCAGTCCAAGTGACCGAGGCAAGGGTAAACAAAACAGCCTGTGACCCACCACCCCCACGCAACAGCCATCTTACCGAGAAGCTTGCCCTGCTGGAACTGCTCCTCGAGAAGACTGCTGATTTTGGCGTTCTTTTTCCTTTCATCGTATTTCTTCTGAATTTTCTTCGATCGTTTTTTGTTCAAAATCTCTTCCTCTTCAGGAGTCTGAGCAAAGGAGACAAAGATGGTTAGCTGGGGGTCCCCAAATTCTAACACGGCACCCTTGAACCCCACACATCCCAACCTCTGCCTTCCTCAGCACTGAAGGCTTTCTTCTCTTTCCACTCAGTAGCAGAACTGGACAGAATCTCATCACAAGAAGGCTGCCATCAGGTTGGCGTCCCCCCACCCAACAGGGAGGTTGGCTCCCCAAATACGCACCAGCTTAGCCCCCTTCTTGCGGCCCAGGGGCAGTGCGTAGTGGGACTCGTACCACTGTCGGTACGGTGTGCTGTCCACCAGCACGATGCAGTTCTTCACTAGGGTCTTGGTGCGGACCAGCTCGTTGTTGGAGGCATTGTAGACAACATCAATAATCCTTGTTTTGCGCGTACAACCTGCGCACAAGAGAAATCCAGAATCAAGCAGAGTAAACCAAAGGCCAACTGGCCTTGCTCTCCCATCCCAGCCTAATAGGGCCTAAGGGGAAGCACCCAGCCTTGGGGCATCAGCTCATCTCCACAAGCCCATCCTTCCAGAGGTGGCTGACAACCCCAGATCCAGCCCCTCCCTGAGCCCACAGGAGTTGCCAGCACAGGCTGGAGAGATAGCTCTAATTACCACAGCCTTAGGGTCTTTCAAGAAGAAACTTCAGCCCTAACCAGTTTGGCTCAGTGGACAGCCTGCAGACTGAAAGGTCCCAAGTTTGATTCTGGTGAAGGGCATGTTCCTTGGTTGCGGGCACATCCCCAGTAAGGGTAGTGCAAGAGGCAGCTGATCGATGATTCTCTCCCATTGATGTTTCTAACTCTCTATCCCTCTCTGTATAAAGTCAATAAAATATATTTTAAAAATATATATATATATTTAATTTTTAAAAAAAGAAACTTCAGTATCTGGGTGGAGGCCATGGACTTCCTGCTAAAAGCACTCCCTGAAGCTCCTAGAAGACTGTAGGTACCGGGTTCCCACCCTCTCCTGCCGGGCCTCACTCACTCACACTCTGAGCCCCAGGAGAAGTTGCCCACGTCCAGCCTCAGGGCGCGGTACTTCTTGTTGCCTCCTCGCACTCGGACTGTGTGGATGCGGCGGGGTCCGATCTAGCGAACACAAGGAGACAGGGACCAGGTTATAAAGGAAAGCAAGGCGCGAGAGGAAAGGGAGCCTGGCCGCCTGGAGGAAACAGTCAGTGTAACTATGACGAGTCCTAGCATTGACAAGTGGCACAAAGTGGCCAAGACGGCCACGCCACGCCTAAGGTTACCTTTTTCATCATTCTAGTTACCTCCAAGAAAAAAAAAACCCAAAAAAACAAACTTGATCCCAAACACAACAAATCACGTGTCCATGCGACAGAAACACCAGGTTTCTAACCAGCACGCGCGGACCCCTTTAATCCTAACAGCGCGCCTCCGTGCAATCTCCTTAGTACCGTGTTTCCCCGAAAATAAGACCTCCTCCGAAAATAAGACCTAGCGCAAGTTTGGGAGAAAAAATTAATATAAGACACCATCTCATTTTCGGGGAAACAGGATATTCACCCAACAGGTAAGGAGGAAGAGGCCACTCGCTCCCACCCGGGGCTCAACAGCCACGCGCAGAGCCGGATCGTGAACACCCGCCCGAGCCGACCTCCCGGGTGGCGAGGCCCCGCACGCACCTTAGTGTTGGCAGCAGGGCGTCCCAGCTCATATTTTCGCTTCTTGTGGTAGGGCTTCCTCTTGCCCCCGGTCTTGCGGCGCTTGTGCCAGTTGTCCCGGGAGATCCCTGTGCGGGGGAGCGGGGAGCGGAAGCTTGAACCCTGGGACGCGGGCCAGCCCCGGCCAGCCCCAGCCGGCGCGCGGGGCGGGCGGCACGCTCAGTTCTCCAAGGTTGGCTTCCCCACGGCGCATCGGGGGTCTGCAGCAGTCCTAAGGCGTCATCACCGCGTGCCGCGCCGCCCGCACCCTCCCCCGCCGCAGCCATGTTGACACGGCTGGCAGCCCCGGCCCGGGCTCTGGCCCGGACCCCAGCGCCGGACCCGGCGGCACAAACCTGAGCACCAGCTTCCTCATGGCCGCCCGTGGCCGAGGGTCCGCGCGCCCACCCTCCTGAGGTGGCTGAGAGGCGGGATGGCGCCGGATTGAACGCGCGCCTCCGCCCCGGCCCTCACACAAGCAGCACTCACCCATAGCTCGGCGCCGGCTGGAAAGAGGAAACGCTGAGAAACACCGTCCGGTTTGTAAAACGTAGCCCCGCCCCCAATCGCCGAAAGGAGCGGCAGAAACGCCGTAGCACGTTACGACGGTTTTGCGACCGCGTCCTGGGCTCCGCCGCCGCCTCGCGTCTGCGACCGCGGGAGGCCTTCCTCCTGAAGGGGGCTCTGAGCGCTGGAGCCCCACCCTGGGGAGGGGGCTGGGCGGGGAGGGGGAAGGGATTAGAGAGGGGATTAGGAAGAGGGTTGGGAGGGGGCTGGGGAGAGCCTGAGGTTGGGAATCGCGCGGCTTCGCCAGATGTGAGGTTTTTTTTAATTTATTTTTATTTAGTAACGTTTATTTAGAAGATCAGCAACCTTAACATCCCATACACCCAGTTGTAACGACAAATGTATTTATTGTGCTACCAGATCATTTCTGTGGTGTTCTGAGAGAACTCTTCTCCCAGTAGAGTTCTACATCCATACCAGAACCGATTGAAAACGAGGCATTGGGCCGAGACCCGTGTGGCTCAGTGGATAGAACGTCGGTCTGCGGACTGAAAGGTCCCGGGTTCAATTCCGGTCAAGGGCATGTACCTTGGTTGAGGGCACATCCCCAGTGTGGGGTGTGCAAGAGGCAGCTGGTCGATGATTCTCTCTCATTGATGTTTCTAACTCTCTGTCCCTCTCTCTTCCTCTCTGTAAGAAATCAATAATATATATATATATATACATACATATACATATATATATATATATATATATTTTTTTTTTTTTTAAAGAAATGTCTCAGGCTAGGTAAAAGTTTTGGGTGTGGGCTTTGTACACACCCAGAATGTGTGTTTGTTCCCAAGGCTGTGTGCACTATGGTGGGTGTGACCTGGGGTTGGAGCCTGAGATTGGAGAGTTGGGGACATTCCTTTCCCATGACTGTAGAATAAAATCTAAATTTCTTACCAGAAACTGGAAGACCCAGGAATGGGGGCTGTGTGATTTCATGCCATCCTGAAGAGAGCCTCTCCTGCTTCCCTTACTACCCTTGCCTGGACACTACTCCATTTGCTTTGAGACCATCAGTGATCATATTATGGTTTTGACCCCTTTTTTCCATTATCTTGAAAAATTATCTCCTGCCTGGTTGGTGTGACTCAGTAGTTGAGCACTGACCTATGAACTAGGAGGTCATAGTTCCATTCCAGGTTAGGGCGCATGCCCAGGTAGCAGGTTTGGTCCCCAGTGTGAGGCATGCAGGTGGCAGCCGATCAATGTCTTTCTCATCATTGATGTTTCTCGTTCTCTCCCTCTCCCTTCCTTTCTGAAATCAATAAAAATACATATTTTTTAAATTATCTTCCAAATTATACCTATCACCCATGTTCTTTTAAAAAAATATACTTTCTATTTTATATTAAATTTGTAATGAAGGAGAATCTTGGGATTGGGAAGTTAATGGCATTTAAGTTGCCAAAGAGGTGATTTTCTTATTTTACTCAATTATTATTTTTTAGAAATATATTTTTAGTGATTTCAAAGAGGAAGGGATTTGGAGAGAGAGAAATATAAATGATGAGCCCTAATTGGTTTGGCTCAATGGATAGAGCATTGGCCTGCAAACTGAAGGGTTCCAGGTTCGATTCCGGTCAAGGGTATGTACTTTGGTTGTGGGGGGTGTGCAGGATGCAGTTGATCGATGTTTCTCTAGTCCACTCCCTTCTCTCTGTAAAATTTAATAAAATACATATTTAAAAAAAGAAATATCAATGAGAGAAAAAAATCATTGACTGGTTGCCTCCTGCACGCCCCCTACTGGGGTTGAACCTGCAACCTGGGCATGTGCCCTGGACCCTTCAGTCCATAGGCCAATGCTCTAGCCAGTGAGCCAAAGTGGCTAGGGCACTATCACCCACATTCTAATCCTGAGACAGGTAAATATCTATTTATACAGATTTCTCAGCATCCAGTTCCTACAATATTCCTACAGTATGCCCTGTGTTATTCATCAGGAAAAATTCCCCTTTGTCTTCAACCTTTTCTCTAAATTTTACCTTCCAGCCAAAACCGATTTGGCTCAGTGAATAGAACATTGGACTAAAAGGTCCCAGGTTCGATTCCGGTCAAGGACATGTACCAGTAGGTGGTGTGCAGGAGGCAGCTGATTGGTGTTTCTCTCTCATCGATGTTTCTCTCTATCCCTCTCCCTTCCTCTCTGTAAAAAATCAATAAAATATACTTAAAAAAAAATTATGTCTCTTTTACAGAGTTCTGTGGCCTTCTGTGGCTGTAGCATTCTTGGTTGGGTTTATTTGCATACTCACTCTGATTGGCTGGTGGGCATGACTTGTGGATGTAGTGGAGGTATGGTCAATTTGCATATTACTCTTACCGTGTTTCCCCCAAAATAAGACAACCTCCGAAAATAAGACCTACTTACAGGTTTCCTTCTGAGTGAAATATAAGGCATCCCCTAAAAAATAAGGCCCCCCCAGGCTAAACGGGATTTGGTCCACTGATTTTGAAAGAAATGGAGTCACAAGAAATTCACCAGGAAATTCAGGAATTGGGTTGTTACAATGATGTTCCAGAAGATGATGACGTGATTGTCATTGAATAAATGAGTAAATTCTTGATACTGTAGGATTCAGTGTTTGTCTGGTTTGTGTTGACAACTGCCGTACTACCGTATCGTATACAGGTAATAAATTTCCTTTATTTTCATTTAACAATAAATGCGTACCGTATTCTTCTTCATAGAAAAATAAGACATCCCCTGAAAATAAGATCTAGAGCACCTTGGGAGCAAAAATTAATATAAGACAGTGTCTTATTTTCGGGGAAACAGGGTATTAGATAGGACTAGGGGTAGCTATAAGGAAATTAGAAGAAATATTTCATCACTGTTCACCCTTTATAAGTGTCAGAGATGACATATCAGAGGTACATTGTGCTGATAGTTGGTCTTCAGATATATCCTGTCTACAACACCACTTTTTTTTTAAATTTAATTTTTATTTTTTTTAATCAATCTTTATTGTTCATATTATTACAAAGGTTCCTCATTTCTTCCCCCCTCCACCAGGTTCCCACCCCACCCTCCGCCCCCTCCCCATCCCCCATTGTCCTCATCCATAGGTGCACAGTTTATGTTCAGTCTCTTCTTCCCTCCCTTTCCCCAATAGTAAATCCCTTTTCAGATAGTAAATCAGTTACTTAGCATTTTCTCATATCAATAATACCTCCACATGCCCAATGATACACTTCACACAAAAGATATTTCCCAATAGGTCAACTAGCCTCATCCAGGCCCCACCCAAGGCACTCACAGATCAACACCCCAGCCCTATACTAACTCAACACATCCAGATCTAAGCCTTCATCACTTGATTCAGCAGACCCTCAAGTTCCCACGAAAGTTTCCAGCCATGTCTAAGAGGCAGCTGTGGGGCAGGGGCAGGCGAGGAGCGAGTTGTTCTGGGCCTGGCTGCTCAGGGCCTGGCCTCTGTTGCTCTGGTTCGTTCCACAACCAGCTGCTCCGGGTCTGGTCACTGCCGCTCCTGACCTAGTTGCTCTGGACTTGGCTGCTGCTGCTCCGGGCCTGGCCGCTTCCAGCCTGGCAGCCGCTGCTCCAGGCCTGGCCGCACCCGACCCGGCTGCTCCCCCGGGCCTGGCCGCTCCCAGCCTGGCAGCCGCTGCTCCGGGCCTGGCCGCACCCGACCCGGCTGCTCTGGGCCCGGCTGCCCCGGGCCCGGCCGCTCTGAGCCTGGCCACTCCCGGCCTGGATGCTCTGGGCTTGGTTACTGTTGTTCTGGGTCTGGCTGCTCCCACCCCGGCTGCTCTGGGCTTGGCTTCTCCGGGCCCGGCCACTCCGAGTCTGGGTGTTCCTGGACTGGCCACCCTGGGCTTGGCCGCCTCTGCCTCAGGCCTGGCTGCCACTGCCCCAGGTCTGGCTGCTCCAGTGCTGGCTGTTGATGCTCTGGTTCTGGCTGCTGCTGCTCTGGGGCCTGGCCGTTGCTGCTCCGGGCCTGGCTGCCACTGCCTTGTGCCTGGCCACTCTAGGCCTGGCCGCCGCTGTTCCAACATTCTGTTCTTTTTTTTTTTCTTTTTTCTTTAAAATGCATTTATGTTGCAATGTTGGCTGGTGAGTTGAGTTCTGACTTAGTCTTTGATTTTTCAAGAACTTCTTTGTATTCTTAAGTAATTTTACTATCTTTTGCTCTCACTTGATTTCTTCACATTGAGAACTTCTTTGGTTTCTTCCTCCTTGTCCTGGGAGCTCAGCAGGTTGGCCTGTGGCACCCCTTTGTTCTCCGCGGGCTCCTGCGCTGCTTCAGCCTGTTGCCGGGGACGGCGCTGCCCAGGAAGCAGCCTCCCGGCCTTGGCTCCATTGCCCGCGCTCAGCGGTCAAAGGCTCAGGGGCACCCACCCCCCTCTGGGGACCCGTCGCCCGCCTCCTTGCTGGTGCCCGGTTGGCCGGCGTCTGGCAGGGGCTCCCGCTCCCCACCGCGTTCCCCCAGCCCGGAGCTTTTTTTCTCCTTCCCGCTAGGGGAATCCAGAATCAGAGTCAACAGACTGTCCTCTGCACGCAGTTTGCGCGAGTCCGGGGGCCCGGCCTTTCGCTGCTCTCCCCGGACTCCACCTCACAGCCCCGTCTCCCTCTGCCTGAGCCTGGGTCCCCAAGGATTGGCCCAGAACTGGGGTTCGGAGCAGTCCGGACTGAGGCTCAGCGCCGCCGGAGGCCTTGTTTCTTCCGGCTAGGGTAACCCAGCATCAGAGTCAACATTCAGTCCTCTGTGCGTGACTCCCGGGGGCCCTGCTTTTCGCCGTTTTTCCGCCTCACGGCCCCGTTTCCTCCCACCGGAGCCTGGGTCCCCAGGGTCTGGCCCATAACCGGGGCTCAGCGCTGCCGGTTCGGGGGGGCTCAGCGCTGCCGGTTCGGGGGGCTCAGCGCTGCCGGTTCGGGGGGCTCAGCGCTGCCGGTTCGGGGGGCTCAGCGCTGCCGGTTCGGGGCTTCAGCCCAGGCTGGGGGTTTTATTTCCTTCCTGCTAGGGAACGCCAGGCAGCATCCAGCCCTTTCCTCCTCTCCGGCTGCGACCTCTCCGTGCGCGCGGGCGGGCGGGCGTGCAACATGTCTCCGTACCTTAGGCTTTTTTTCAGCTCCTCTGATTTTCCTTCTGGTTTGCTCTTTCCTTCTTGTTGTAGAATTTTCAGTCAGTCGACTACCTGTAGCTCTGGGCAATGTCCACTCTACATTTTAGTTGTATTCCATTGAAATTGTGTGATGCCGCGGTTAGATGTCTACCCGAGCAGCCATCTCGGATCTCTCCCAACACCACTTTTTTAAAAAATATATATTTTATTGATTTCTTACAGAGAGGGAGAGGGATAGAGAGCTAGAAACATCGAAAAGAAACATCGACCAGCTGCCTCCTGCACATCCCCTACTGGGGATGTGCCCACAACCAAGGTACATGCCCTTGATTGGAATCGAACCTGGGACCTTTCAATCCACAGGTCGACGCTCTATCCACTGAGCCAAACGGCTTCGGCAACACACCACTTTCTTTCAGCCTCAGAACATCAACAAAATCAACCAAATTCACAATCGACAACGGCAGATAGAAGCACACACATGCAGTTGGCACCAGTGAGAGCTTTAAATGTATCACACATGCATGAGTCACTGCTTATTTTTAAATTGCCAGTGCATGTGATATGTACCAGCTGGTCGTTCAGGCATATGAAACCCACAACAGGGGCATGTGCCCTGACTGGGAATTGAACTGTGACCTCTTGGTTCATAGATTGATCCTCAACCAGAGACACACTGGGAGGGCACCCACAGAATTTAAAATATTTTTATTAATTTCAGAGAAAGGGGAGAGAGAAACATCAATGACGAGATTCATTGATCAGCTACCTCCTGCATGCCCCCTACTGAGAATTGAGCTCATAACTTGGGCATGTATCCTTTTTTTTAAAAAAAAACAAAACATTTTATTGATATTTTACAGAGAGGAGGAAGGGAGAGAGCTAGAAACGATGAGAAACATCCATCAGCTGCCTCTTGTACACCCCCTACCAGGGATGTGCCTGCAACCAACGTACATGCCCTTGACCGGAATTGAACCTGAGACCTTTCAGTCCGCAGACCGATGCTCTACCACTGAGCCAAACCGGTTTCGGCTCAGGCATGTATCCTTGACTGGAATCAAATGCGGGACCTTTCAGTCTGCAGGCCAATACTCTATCCACTGAGCCAAACCAGCTAGGGTTACACAATCTTTTAATATGCCTTGAGCAGCTGAAACCGATTTGGCTCAGTGGATAGAGCATTGGTCTGCGGACTGAAAGGTCCCAGGTTCGATTCCGGTCAAGGGCATGTACATTGGTTGTGGGCACATCCCCGGTAGGAGGTGTGCAGGAGGCAGCTGGTCGATGTTTCTCTCTCATCCATGTTTCTGGCTCTCTCTCTCCTTTCCTCTCTGTAAAAAAATTAATAAAATATATTTTAAAAAAATATGCCTTGAGCAGACTGTAATTGACAGAGCGCCATCTCCTTTATGCTTATTGCTCCTGTTCCCAGGAGAGGGTCTAGGACCGTCCCCAGTTGGGGAGTGTGGGGGAAGCAACCAGTCAGCATCTCTCACATTGATATTTCTCTGTCCCCACCCGGCCCCTCTTCCAGAAGGTTCAGACACACCCCAGGCCCTTCACACATGGCACACAACAGGCTGATTTTTTTCCTCTTTCTTTATTGTTAGATACAATGTATAACCACAAAACAAAAAACAACAGGGATCCTCTTAGATCTTAAAACAGCAAAGCAAGAAGTTCCAGAAACTTTTAAAAGTATAGGACATTAAGTGTCCAGATCAAGGGTGTGGATGGCAGGTCACAGCCGCCAGGGCTGGCCTAAAGGCTCATTTCCTCTCTCCAAAGCCAGGGCAACCCCAGGGAGTTGGCACAGAATGTTGACCAAGAAAAAGCTCTATGCCAACGAGCCTTCCCAACTTGGAAAGAAGAGCTACACAGGATAGTTAAAAGTTCCCTTCTCTCATCCTTGCTCCCTTCAGGACTACAACCGAGGAAGGCAAGTAGCGTCCCATGTCACTCTGATCCGTTCCCCAGCTGTCCTGGCTCTGATGCCCCAATACTTGGCATTTACCAAAGCCTGTCTGAGCTCAGAACCAGGTGCCCAAAGTTCACTGGGGAGAAGTGGGTGGTGAAAAGGTTGGGTGTGACACCAAATATCTATTAGCAGTTGTCACTGGGGCCGTTTCTTGCTGCTTATTTGTTTGCTGGCCTGTTCTTCCAGCTGCATGGCCAAGCGTAAGGCCTTGATGTCATCTGGAAGGAAGGAGACGCGGTACACTAGGGTTAGAGGGTGTCTCAGAGGCCCCTTCCCTCAGGGCAGAGCTGCCATCACCTGCAAAGACCCCACCTGCAGCTCCCCATCCAGCTGCACCCACCTTGCAGGGCTGAGAAGTGCTTGGCTTGCTGGGCCAGGGCAGCTTCTGTCTTGTTCACAAACGTCTCTAGGTCATAGTCGGGCTGCTCGGTCATCTCGGCCAGCTCAACCCAGCTTGACCCTTGCTGCAATGACACAGGGAGCACTTGCTGGTTCAAACAATGACTGAACTAATTTAGCAAATCCTTCCTAACTGCAATGCAGATGGCCCTTCCTCCAGATGGCCCACACCCTGCCTCCCAACCCTCTCCTGCAGAAGTCCCCAGACATAATTCCTCTTCCATATCCCAAACTTGTCCCTATCCCTTATATCAAATGAATGTTATCATCTGTCTTGATGCTCAAGTTAGAAAATCTGAACAACTTTCTCTTTCACCCTGTTGTCCCAAATCCTACCAAGTCCACCCTTTATGGTTCTTGAGTATCATGGCCATCGCCACTCAGTCTAGCCACCAACGTCTCTTTCCAACAATCTCCTAATGACTCTCAACTCCTAAGTGCCTCTACGCTCTCCCCCCATGTTCGCAAACAGGCCTCACACCGTGGGTACCCAAAGCTCTATGACCTTGGCACCGCTCTCTGAAACTCCCTTCGAAGGCACACACTGTCCTCCTAACGAGGTTTAGGCCCCTGGTCTGAACCATGAGACCCTTTAGCGTCAAGTCCCTTCTGACCTATCCACAGCTTAATATCCATCATCAGCTCACTCCGTTTGCTCTGATCAGAGCAAACTTCTCATTCTTCATTAAAGTACCATGTCCTTTTAAACATTTGTACCCCTGAGTACTCAAGGGAGGGAGGACATGCCTAAGCAATTATCTTTCACATTCCCTCTTCTGTTCCAAGGGCCTCAAGCTCTTCCTTCCTGCTTTGCACCGAGGACCCCATTGTCATGGTGCACTTCTGCGCCTCCCCCCCCCCTGCTCTTCCACAGCAGGCATCATGGAGTGCTAGCACCTATCACTTACTAAATACTGACCACATGCTGGGCACTGCTGAGTGCTTTCTTTTCTTTTTCTTAATATATTTTTTATTTCAGAGAGGAAGGGAGAGACAGAGATAGAAACATTAGTGATGAGAGAATCAATGATTGACTGTCTCCTGCACGCCCCCTACTGGGGATCAAGGCTGCAACCCAGCATGTGCCCTGACCAGGAATCAAACTGTGACTTCCTGCTTCATAGTTGACACAAACCATTGAGTCATGCTGGCTAGTCTGTTGAGCACTTTAAAAGCACATTAGCCCTAGCCAGTTTGGCTCAGTGGATACAGTGTTGACCCGCAGATTGAAGGTTTCCTGATTTGATTCCAGTCCAGGGCAGATACCTCTGTTGCAGGCTCAATCCCCAGATCCCCAACCCTGGTTGGGGCGCAGGTGGGAGGCAACCAATGGATATCTCTCTCTCACATCAATGTTTCTTTCAGTTTCTTCCCCTCTTTCTAAAAGTCAATGAAAAATATCCTTGGGTGGGGATTAAAAACAAACAACTAATATAAATAAATAACATGTATATCATTTAACCCTCAGACAAAACCATCCTGTCTTAGCCATCTTAAGGATGAAGAAACTGAGATCCAATGAGGATAAATGACTTTCACAAGGAAATCACTTATAAATAAAATAATCAGGGCTGAACAAGTCTTACTTAAGGGCCTACTATCCATACTTTATGTTTCCGGTCCTTGGTTGCAGCACAGGAGCGGGCATACTCACCAAACATTCACTGAATAACAACGTCCCTGCATATAAACGGTCCTCCAAAACCCCCCGTTAGGAGCACGGTGGAGAGACCAGCTCCGGCTAGGATGGAGGAAGGCTTGTGTGCCAGGCTAAGGAAGAGGGTGTGGTATTAGCTGCCCTAGAAGAATGGATGGGTGAATAGGTAAAGAGTTGAGGAATGCGAGGGTAGAGGGCTGCCTCTTGCCAGGCCAACCTGAAGCCCAAGTCACATTCAGGCACTGGTGCTGAGCACAGCGGCGGGCCTGGGGGGAGTGGATATGCCAGGGCCAGCTGCCCACCTGGACAATCTCCTTGAGCTCTTCAATGGCCCTCTCCTCCAGCTCCCTGATCTGAGTCATGGCTTCATTAAAGCTGGACATCTGGGAAGACAGTTCCTCTTCTTCCTTGGAAAACTAAAGGAGAGACAGAGTATGGCCCAGTGCCCATCTCAGCAGGCCATGTTTGTGTCTTGCTAGGCCCCACCCTGCCCCTTACATTGGTTGTGCTCAGAGACTCCTGAAAGCTGGCTTCTGTCTCTTCTGTTTCCATTTGAACTGGCTGCTCCCCACTGGGCCCACTGTGGGGGCTCAGCTCCTTGACCCTGAGGAAACAAGAAGGTTTCTGATCCCACAGCAACCTTGTTGGCACTCACAGAGTGCTGCACCACTTAGGATGCCAGGCGTGAGGCTTCAGGGGATGGGGGAGCGGCTTTGCCTCTGGCCTAGGAAAAGACCCTCATGCATGCCAACTCCCTACCCAGGCCTGGAGGGGATGGGGACAGACCTAGCATCATGTCAGAATTCCTGAACCTCAGGTTCACTGAATCATAGAAGAGTAAACAGTGAGCACTGAGTCCCAGAGCCTCCTCCCTCTTTCATCACCGCCATTCCTTTCTCCTCTCCCACATCCTGCTCCCAGCCCACAGGGCATAGGTACTGGTACCTGTCTGCGTATCTTAGTGTATTTAAAGTATATTCGCAGGAGCTTATGCCTGGAGAGATCATGGCAATCTGCAAAAGAAGGAATGAATAGTTGAAGGTTGAGTCACGGAAAGAGGCTGCCAGGAGGAGTTTCTCCAAGCTCCCCCGGTGTTGGGGAAGAGCTCATGAAGCACCATCCTACCAGGCAGCCTGCTCCACTGCTAATTAAAGCTCCTTAAAAGTTGGTTCCCTGCCTTTAAAGGCACATCCTTTTTTTTCCCTTTTTTTCAAAAATATATTTTATTGATTTTTTACAGAGAGGAAGGGAGAGAGATAGTTAGAAACATCGGTCAGCTGCCTCTTGCACGGCTCCCACTGGGCATGTGCCTGCAACCAAGGTACGTGCCCTTGACGGGAATTGAACCTGGGACCCTTCAACCCACAGGCTGATGCTCTATCTACTGAACCAAACCGGTTTTGGCTAAAGGCACATCTATCACCCCCTCCTTCTTCTCTCTTCACTGATCCATTCCTCACACTGAGGTCACACCTTAAGGCTCTGTGGCTCCAGGAGCCCTCATTCCATCCAGGCTCAGGATGGTGCCTCAGGGAGAAGGCGTTGGAGCTTAATCTGACATTCCCTCTTCCCTGCAGACACAGGAGGATAATCCTGGAGGGGAGCAGACTCTAGCTAGAAGGGCTTGTGGATAAAATAAGGAAGGGATAAAAAGCCATTCAAGGCTATAGCCCTTCCCATATTCTAGGCTGGAAGCCAAGGATACGAAGGAGGTCACAGAAGCCAGGACGCCTCTCCCCTGCTTCCCCAAAGGTCCTCTCCTTCTGAATTCTAGAGCCCCCTTTCCACCAGGTAAGGGAGGAATGACTCCCCCAAACCCAGAGCTGCGAGGATATTCGGAGTACCTCCTTTCTTCCCCTGGGGTAGGCAAAGAGGAGCCTGGAACTAAAAGGCAGGAGTGAAGCTCAGTCAAGTTAGTGTCTGGAAACCCAGACAGCCAAGGAAACCCAACAGGCCTACATGATGTCCTGCACCACCTCCACAGCCCCTGCTCACCATACAGGTCCTCGAGTTCTCCCCGATGAAGGAGTCCCGCAGCACCTGTGTCAGCTTGCTCTCTCGGAATGGGGTGTGAGCCTTGTTCTGTCCCAGGGCCCTGATGCACTCCTGTGGGGCACCAAGTGCAACTGAGGGCCTTTCCTTAATCTCCACGGTCCACCGTCTCCCCGCGGCCAGCGGTCCCCACTTCTAGCTAGCCCTGCTACCTTCAGAGCCAGGAGACTTTTGTTGATCTCTGCGCCTTCCATGCGGGTCTGCCGGTCAGCACTGGAAGTGTCTGCACCTCGCTCGTTCCCTGCCAGATCCACCAAAGAGAACTTGCCATGCACTCTCCCTTTGGCTCGAAGGAGAATCTGGAAGCAGGCATGGGAGCGGGAAGAGTTGGAGTTGGCAAAGGTCTGCCCAGAGGTCCTGTAGTAGAGGAAGCAAAGACAGGCCATGAGCTTTGGAAGTCACCAGCCACCCCAGTCCACAGCAGTGAATCTCTGGTCAGAGGGACAGCGGCCAGAACTCTAGGAAGTTCTGTGTCGTCACAGGTTTCTGCTCGGCCTTCCCCGGGCAGCTCTCTCTCCAGCAGAGGAGCTGGCGAGTTTCCTGGAGCTGCAGCATTGGACTCTGCTCGGGGCACGGCCGGACATGGGGAAAGATGAGCTCCCTCTGTTGCAGGGCACACAGGGAAGGAGGGGTTGTCATGAACCACTTGCCAAAACGTGAGGGCCCTGCAGAGGGCAGCTCGCTCCGAGCCTCCATGCACAGCCTCGGGCCTGGAAGAGCACTTCCCTACTGGAGCTATGGCTCCAGCACTTTCAGCCTAGGACATGCCCAGAGCTGCTCCTCCCAGCCAGGAAGGAAGCCTGCCTCGGTTAGATTTAAGACACTTTGAGTTGCTCCAGATGAGCCTCTTAGAGACCCCTTACTGCAGAGGCCTTCACCGTCCTCCCCAAGCCGGGAGAGCAGCTCTGTGGAACCAGATGGGACCAGAGCTAGTTAGTCACCTGAACTGGGCAGGAGAAAGCAGCCCCTCCCCCGCAGAATTCTGACCTGCAGGCGCTGCCTATGTCGATCATCTTGATGACATCCTCAGCACAGTTCACCAGGTGCTCCTGCAGCCCCAGCACCTGCACCTGCTGCTTCCCGTCCTCCAGCACGCGCAGCTTGGCCTTCTTGTTCAGCAAATCGAACACCTGTGAGGGCAGGGGACCAAGCCTAAGGCCATCAGGCACTGGGCACGCACCTGAGGCCTCCCTCCTTCAGGGCTGGCCCAGCTCAGCAAGGGCAGGCAGCAGGGAAGACAGAACCTGAGCAGGGAGACTAGCAGAGGGTGTGGGTTCTGAATTGAGCTGCCTCAGCTTGATGTGATTCTAATGCTTCACTAGCTGTGTGAACCTGGGCAAGTACTTAACCACCTGCAGCATAGTGATGGTCACACTTCCTCATAGGGTTGTTGTGATTACTACCCTGTTTCCCCAAAAATAAGACAGTGTCTTATATTAATTTTTTTCTCCCAAAGTTGCGCTAGGTCTCATTTTCAGGGGATATCTTATCTTTCCATGCGCTAGGTCTTATTTTCGGAGGATGTCTTATTTTCGGGGAAACACGGTAAGTGAACTGAAACAAGTAAAGTGCTTAGAACATAATGTCCTATTAGCAGCCCTGCCTGACCGGGTAACTCAGTTGGTTAGTCTCTTCTCTACACGCCAAGGTTGCAGGCTCAATCCCTGCCAGATCTACCAAAGAGACACACACAAGAATCACCCTGCCCTGGCTGGTGTGCTCATGGGGAGTGTTGTCCCATACACCAGAGGGTTTCAGGTCCGATCCCTGGTTGGGGCACATACCCAGGTTGCAGGTTTTTTGTTTGTTTGTTTTTAAAATATATTTTATTGATTTTTAACAGAGAGAAAGGGAGAGAGATAAAGAGCTAGAAACGTCGATGAGAGAGAAACATCGACCAGCTGCCTCCTACACACCCCCTACCAGGGATGTGCCCGCAACCAAGGTACATGCCCTTGACCAGAATCGAACCCGGGACCTTTCAGTCCGCAGACCGACGCTCTACCACTGAGCCAAACCAGCTTTGGCCCCAGGTTGCAGATTTGCTCTCGGTAGGGGCTAGTGCAGGAGGCAACTGATTAATGTTTCTCATATTGATTATTTCTCTCTCTCCCTCTCCCTTCCTCTCTAAAATCATTGGGATATATCCTTGGGTGGGAGGATAAAAAAAAAAAAGAAAGAAAGAAAGAAAGAGCCAAAACCGGTTTGGCTCAGTGGATAGAGCATCAGTTTGTAGACTGAAAGGTCCCAGGTTCGATTCCGGTCAAGGGCATGTACATTGGTTGCGGGCACATCCCTGATGTGGGGTGTGTAGGAGGCAGCTGGTCGATGTCTCTCTCTCATCGACGTTTCTAGCTCTCTATCTCTCTCCTCTCCCTTCCTCTCTGTAAAAAAAAGTCAATAAAATATATTAAAAAAAAAGGAAAGGAAGAATTGCCCAGCCAGTGTGGCTCGATATCTGAGCACTGACCCATCGTGAATCAGGAGACCACAGTTGATTCCAGGTCAGCATATGCTTGGGTTGAGGATCAAACCCCAGTAGGGGGCGTGCAGGAGGCAGCCAATCAATGATTCTCTCACATCACTATCTCTCTGAAGTTAATAAAAATGTATTTTAAAAAAAGAATCAACCAAAAAAATGCATAAATAAGTGGAACAACAAATCTATGTTTATTTCTCTCCCTTTAAAATCAGCATTTTAAAATATTAAACAAAAATCAATATAGCTATTATTATCTGCTCTAAGGAAGCAACTCTGCAAAAACGAAGAGATTTGTAGGTGAGTATTTATTCATGCATACACACAGAGAAAGGGGTTGGGAGGAAGAGAGGATGAAGATGAGAATATGGATGATCAAAGGAAAAGGAGTTGTGAAGGAGATGGGTGGAGGGAACACAGAGCACACTCAAGGCAAAGCTCCCATCTGAGAGGAGCCCTGCAGAGTATTCCTGTCACACTTGTTGATTTTTTTTTTAAAGCCCGATTACAGCTTTTTTTTTTTTTTTTTAAGTATTTTTTTTATTGATTTCAGATAGGAAGGGAGGAGGAGAGAGAAACATGAATAAGAGAATGAATTTAAGACACTTTGAGTTGCTGAAAAACTGTTGTCCAATGAATCATTGATTGGCTGCCTCCTGCATGCCCCACACTGGGGATAGAGCCCACAACCCAAGAATGTGCCCTTGACCGGAATCAAACCTGGGACTCTTCAGTCTGCAGGCCGACGCTCTGATCCATTGAGCCAAGACAGCTAGGGCACTTGTTGACTCTTGAGTACCATCCCACCATCAGACGAAACCCCTCTAAGTCAGGGCAGAGCTTCACAGCCCATAGATTGTTTGGCTTCTACTAGCCAACCTCAAGGTTCTTGAGAGTTCAGGGGCCCCAACAGTATAAACAGGGTCTCCTTGTCAGCTACCTTCCCATTATAGATCTCAAAGTATGTCACATAGACTTCCAGGCCCATGTTCCGGTAGCGCGGCTGACTCTTCATGAGGAAGACGTCCTGGGCTATGGAGAGAGCACGGATTAATAAGCAACCTGCTTGCTGCGCCCAGCCCTACGGCGGCAGAAGACACTACTCACAGGCCATTGCATAGATTCCTTTGGATGCATTCTGGGCTTTCCCAGAGAGGCCTCCGCCCATAGTCTGCAAAAGGAAGGGACAGAAGACCTTGGTAAGGGGCCTTTGGCTCCATCACTGCAGTGGGCCACACCGAAGGTGGGAGGCTGGACCCACTAAGGCACCTCTTTGCACCAGGCACAACAAGCGTTATCTGGTGATGGAGCATCCACACTGAAGGGATTTTCTACCCAAAACTCACTGTCTTCCTTTTCAGGGACCCAGAGCAGCGCCATGGGCAAACTCATACCTTGCCATGCTTGAATACTCACATGCGTCTTGCCACTTCCTGTCTGGCCATAGGCAAAACAGGTCGCTTTTCCGCCTTGGAAAATGGTGTGCACCAGTGGCCTTGCTGTGAACCTAGCAGAAAGGACAGGGAAGAATGTATTATCTCTGACCAAAGCGTGTACCCTGGAACATGACCTGCTGCCCTTCCCCTGCAGAACTTCTGGGTCCTCCATTCCTCCTTCCAAGCACAGTACTCCTCTCCTGCAAAGGGGTCCCACCTGACCTATTTCACATTAAAAAACAATAATCCTTTAAAAACATAAAAAACAGCCCAGCCGGCGTGGCTCAGTAGCTGAACATTGACCTATGAACCAGGAGGTTGCGGTTCGATTCCCAGTCAGGGCACATGTCCAGGCTCAATCCCCTGTGCGGGGCACGCAGGAGGCAGCCGATCAGTGATTCTCTCTCATTACTAATACTTCTCTCTCTCTTCCTTCCTATCTGAAATCAACAATAAAAAAATTTTTTTTTTCTCTCTCCCCCCCAATTTTTTTTTTTTTTTTTTTTTTGAGGCAACCAAAATTTTTGTTGGCCTTGCTTCGGCGAGGCTTAAAAAAAAAAAAAAAATTATATATATATATATATATTTTTTTTTTAATTGATTTTTTATAGAGAGGAAGAGAGAGGGATAGAGAGTTAGAAACGTCGATGAGAGAGAATCAACGATCAGTCACCTCTTGCACACCCCTCACTGGGTACATGCCCTCGACCGGAATCAAACCTGGGACCTTTCAGTCCACAAGCCAATGCTCTATCCACTGAGTACAAACCGGTTTGGCTCAGTGGAATGAGCGTCAGCCTGCGGACTGAAAGGTCCCGGGTTCGATTCTGGTCAAGGGCATGTACCTGGGTTGCGGGCACATCCCCAGTGGGGAGTGTGCAAGAGGCAGCTGATCGATGATTCTCTCTCATCGATGTTTCTAACTCTCTATTCCTCTCCTTTCCTCTCTGTAAAAAATCAATAAAATATATATACAAAAAAAACATTCTTGGTTATAGAGCCATATAAAAGGGAGTGAACCAAATTGGGCCCAAGTTTGTTAACTTCTAGTTTGGAGCACTGTTGTCCAATAGCACTTTCTGTGCAGATGGAAATGTTCTAGATCTGTGCTGTCCAATAGTAGCCACTTCCACATGGGACTGGAGAAGCACCTGAAATGTGGCTTATGTGATTGAATAATTTAATTTTTTTTATTAATTATTATCTGTGTACATATTTTACCACTGCCTCCCCCTCCCATACATACTCACCCTCCCCAGAGTTTTGTGTCCATTGGTTGTACTTATATACATGTATACAAATCCTTCGGTTGATCTCTTAACTCCCCCAGATCTCCCTCCCCTCCCCGCTGTAATTTGACAGTCTACTTGTTGCTTTATTGTCTTGAATAATTTTATTTTTAATTGTATTTAACTTTTATTAAACAGCTACATGATGCTGTGGGTGCTTTATTAGACAGAGCCGTCCAAGAGTTTGCTAAGTCTGTAAAGCCCAGATGGTAACAGGGTGGCTGCACAAGATGCTGGAAGAACCCTGAAGCCTGCCCAGCCTCAGAGAATGCAATGGGTAATACCTCACTTCTGATCCACTCAAAGATGCATGCTAATGCTGCAAAATGGCATATGGCAGCCCAGGAACCAGAATTAGAACCAGAGCCAGAGCCAGAGCAAGCTCTATGTGAGCTGATTCAAAAAAACATGGCCTCACCTCCTTTTTTTTTTTTTTAAAAAAAAAAGAATTATTTTATTGATTTTTTACAGAGAGGAAGAGAGGGACAGAGAGCTAAAAACATTGATGAGAGAGAAACATTAACCAGCTGCCCCTGACGGGAATCGTACCCGGGTCCCCTCAGTCCGCAGGCCGACACTCTTTCCATTGAGCCAAACCGGCTTCAGCCTCACCTCCCTTTTTGTTGAGAACCCCACCTTCCCACCTTCAAATCTGCCAACCTGCCTGACCCACATTCTCTATTCCTTCCCATTACAATGGAGTGTCCCTGCTCCATCACAGGCCACCTGTTCGCCTTCTGCTTGTTCTCTGAAGCACCTTCCCTCAGACTTCTCTCCTGCAGTTCCCCACTCCCTTTTCTTCCGGTGCATCATCTCTATTGACATGCTAATGTGCTCTGTATCTCCCATCTTTTTTTTTTTTTTTTAATTTTTATTTTATTTTATTTTTTACAGAGAAGAAGAGAGAGGTATAGACAGAAACATCAATGAGAGAGAAGCTGCCTCCTGCACACTCCCCACTGGGGATGTGCCCACAACTAAGGTACATGCCCCTGACCGGAATCGAACCTGGGACCTTTCAGTCTGCAGGCCAACACTTTATCCACCAAGCCAAACCGGTTTTGGCAGTATCTCCCATCTTAATAAAAATATCCTTGGTGCCCAGGAGGCATGGCTCAGTAGTTGAGCACTGACCTATAAACCAGGAGGTCACAGTTCAATTCCCAGTCAGGGCCCATGCCTAGGTTGTGGGCCTACTGATGTTTCTAGCTCTCTCCCCCTCTCCCTTCCTTTCTGAAATCAATAAAAATACATTAGAAAAGAAAACATGGGAGGAGGCCAGGAAGGGTTTTAGAGTCCAGCATGCCTGTGAGCAGTGTTACCGCAGTGTCTTGCACGGAAAAGACCAAATAGGGTGAGGGCAGGGGGAAGCGAGGTGGGGGGGGAGAAGAGGCAAGGGACTAACCTATAGATGACTTCATTTGAAGCTGTTTCATCAAATGCAAAGTCAAAGCAGAATGACTGGTTCTCCAGATACTTTGTTAAGTCCACTTTCAACTTGGGCTCATGTACGAAGAGGAGACACTTGCTAGGAATGGAAATCACGTCAATTTCTTTCTTGGCCAATTCTGCAGAAGGAGAATATTTTCATGGGATGCTCCCTGGACACAGGAATCCTTTTACTCCAAAGCCCCTTTCTGACTGAATGGAGTTTACCTTGTTTATTCAGCGGGCGTTTCCTAACACAAACGCATATCCTGTGCTCTTCTATCTTCAAGAGAATGAGAGGAGACAACCAACAGAAGGTTAGGGCAGTATTAAAGAAAGCTTCTCCCAAGCCCCTCCCTACCAATCCCTGGTCTGGCCCAGTCAGGAGCCAAGATCTAACACTAGGATGCTGCCTCCCCATTATTTACTCAAGAGCACAGAAGGTAAGGTAGGGTAGAGGGAAGTTTATAAAAAATCAGGCCCTCATCTAGGTCTCACTAATTCCAACTCACCAAAGGATCTTAAAAATACCCTCAACATTGAGGGAAGACTTCTCAATGCTCTCCTTCAAAGTTTTCTGTCTCTTAATTGCAAACCTACTCAGGAAGGGGAGGGAGAAGCCTTTTGGGTTTACTTACAGGATCAGTCAGAGTAAGGGGATGACAATCCAAGGTGGCCCGAAATTCTTTAATCATCCGGGCAAATTCCCAGTTTGGAAAGCTGTTGTCATATTCCTGTTTGGGACAAGAGCAAAAAAACACTGACTGCTAAGATGTAAGTGCTCTTAGACTTCAGTACTAAGGAAAAGCAACATCTCTCCTGGTGCAACTGCCCATCAGAGTTGACCAAACCCCACACCATCTCACTTCCTCCCGCCCTGACTTTAGACTGACAACCCAGGAACACAGCCTGGGAATAGAGACTGGCAAGGGGGCCCAGGCATGCACCAAACCACTCTAGGTACTGGGGCGAGGGCCACTTAAAAGATCAGAAGGCTGGGATTCCCCAGAGCAATGAACCCAACTAAGGGGAAATGCTCCAAACTACACCTGCATTGCTGCACCTCCACCACACACACACACACACACACACACACAGCTAGGAGGTTGGGGAAACAGGCAACTGCTGTGGGAAAGGCGTGCCCACTGAACAGTCAGCATGAAGTAGTTCCCATGTGAAGACCCTCAGGAGAATATCTGACTTATTGTTCTCTGAATCCTGATGAGATACCAGTTAAGCTTCCTGGTTATCAGAAGTGGAGCCACAGTAATGCTGGGGCCCAACAGTATGTGTGCTGCCGTTAACACTCAGTTAAGGACGCCTGTCAAAACCCTTTCCTAGACCCCGAGAAAGATACCTGAGCTCGCCTGGTTCTCATTTCAGAGATCTGGGCCCTCTTCTCTTCTCGTTTGTTCTTCATTTTTTCCATTTCCTTCACAATGCATGATTTCCTCCGAACTAGGGGAGGAAAAGCTCATTCTTTTACTTGTCTAGGCCAGCCAGCCTGTTCTTCTCCAGCTGCTGTACTGAGTCCTGGGCCATTCCTAGGACTAGGCCTTCTCAAGACCTTTGCTCTTAAATCCCCATATGCAGGGAGAGGAAGCAGAGGTGACTCTTGGGATGGTCAAACTCACCAAGTAAAGATTTGCCCACATAAGTACTCCAGGTCTAACCCAAACTCTCCCCATACCTCTGTGGCATTTTCTCAACAACCAGAGAGATATGACCATCTCTGGTTACTTTAGGTTACTTAATGGTTACTTTAGGCCAGTGGTCGGCAAATTGCGGCATGTGGCTTGCGACCACTGGGATAGGGGCTTAATCCCAAGGAACAACAACAGCCTGTAATTATTGGAATCGAGAATCTAGGTAAGTGGTTGGCAAACTCATTAGTCAACAGAGCGGCAACTGAGGCTCGTCACATGTGGCTTGCGAGCCACAGTTTGTCGACCACTGCTCTACGCTGTTCTTCGGGTGTCAGCCAAGACACTATTGTGACAACATCTCAGTTACATTAGGTTTCTGCCAGCTTAAGGGTAAGGGGTCATCTTGTGTAAAATTGATTCCATGGCCACAGGGAAACATGCCCCCAAGTAACAAATGCAGTTTGAACTCAGGTGCCAAGGCAGCCCAGGTCTGAAACAAGAGTGAAACCGTCCTGCACTAGGAGGAGGGCAGCAGACAGTCAGCATTCTACCTGAGTTCACCGGGTTTGCAGCAGAGCTGCCTCGCACGGAATGGACTTGCTCGTCTACCTCCTCGCTGACCATCGGAAATGGTATTCCAGCCACTGCAGGGCAGGAGTTCCTAGGGGGGCCAGCTGTGAGGAAACAAGAGTCATTGGAGAAGCCTCCTATAATATGAGCAGAATTTGGGTTTTTGCCTTTATCTCAGCCCATACCCTGAAGGAGACCAATATCTCTGCAGGGGCTGGCTCCTGGGTCAAGAAATCTTGACTACCCTGCCCTGTTTTCTTTTGCTCATGGTTAGAGCATTGGCCTATGGACCAAAGGAATGTAGGTTTGATTCCTGGTCAAAAGCACATACCTTGGTTACAGCTCCATCCCAAGCCCTGGTCAGGGTGCATGCAGGAGGCAACCAATCATATGTCTCTCACATAGATGTTTCTCTGTATCTCCGGCTTCCACTCTAAAAACATCAGTGGGAAAAAAATATCCTCAGGTGGGGATTAAAAAGAAAGAAAAGGGTGAGTAACTCAGTATGGGCTTCACCATAAAGGGAAAAGCCTTTTAAGGCCTGACCCAGCATAGGTTCTTAGGCCAAATCTCTCTACTCACTGAGAGAAAAGCCAGGCCTTTCTGACTTTCAAAAGCCTTGGAACTCAAAACAAAACAAAACAAAACAGCCTTGGAACTCGGGTAGTTAACAGGAGCAAAGACTGAAAAGCCAGCAATAATAGAAACATGAGCAAAACTAACCATACTGATTTTAACCCATGACAACTCATTACTTCCCATACTTGGTCATGATCCTTTACCTTCGTTTTGTAAGAGCTAAATTTGACATATGTAAGATGTAATGGCTGTGTATCTTATAAAATCTTCATCGACTTTATGTATCTAATAAAAGTTGACAATTGCCTGGCCAACATGATTCAGTGGTTGAGCACTGACCCATGAACAGGGAGGCATAGGTTCAATTCCCAGTCAGGGCACATCCCTGGGTTGCAGGCTTGATCCCCAGTGCAGGAAGCAGCTGATCAATGATTCTTTCTCATCATTGGTTTCTCTCTCTTTCTCCCTTTCTCTCTGAAATCAATGAAAATATATTTAAAAATAATACCTTTATCAATAAAGAAAAGAAAAAAGAAAAAAAAAGAATTGCTTTAATTGGTTTGGCTCAGTGGATAGAGCATCGGCCTGTGGACTGAAGGGTCCCAGGTTCGATTCCCATCAAGGGCATGTACCTTGGGTGCAGTCACATTTCCTCTTTCATCGATGTTTCTAACTCTCTATCCCTCTCCCTTCCTCTCTGTAAAAAATCAATAAAATGTATCTTTTTAAAAAAGAATTATGTCTCTTATAGAGTTCTGTGGCCCTCTGGGGATACAGTACTGATATGTATTATTAAAAATATTCTCATTAGTTCCTGTATGCCCTGTAACAAAAACTTGATGCAAATCATTTCCAATTAAGAAAAAGATAATGGATCAAATTTTCATTAAACCAGACTAAGTAAATAAATAAATAAATGAAAAGTCAGGATTGTAAGTTTCGTTGGGGGCTTAGGAGCTGGAAAAAGACCTGAGGGGGACTTTGGGGTGGTGGTAATACTGTTTGATCTGGGTGTTAGTTATATGAGTTAGTTATAAAGTTAGTTAGTTATAAAGTTAGTTAGTTATAAAGAGCTGTATATACTCAATGATATGTTCACTTTCCTATATATACTGTATATTTCAAGCAAGGGGGAAAAAAGGTTTTTTCCAGATAAGGGAGCTGAGGGGCAGGGACAGAAGAATAGTAAGTACTAAGCTAGGGTATGTAGGAATCTTGGATATTCCAGAACAGATTCAGGAAATGTGTGAGGAGCTGCCCCAGGGCGTCACACAGGGAGAACAGATTCATTACTCACTAGGAACTAAGAACTGCTTGCGGGAATTGGCACGCACGGGCAGGTCCACCTCCATAACATCCTCCTTAGGGGTAATGCGAACCTCTGAGAGAGTGGACATGCGACTGGAGCGGCTTCGGAGACCTGAAGAACCGGGGACAATCAGTGTAGCATGGCTCTATATATAACCCATGACTTTCATAAAGAGCGTAAATTAATATCTTCCTATTTCCCAAAAGATTTATAATCTTGTGCTTCATTCTACTGTTCAATAACATGCACCTTTATTAAGATTTCCCTCCCCCCATTTATAAGGAGCTGTGGCAATATCCCTTGGGGTCAGGCATGTGGGGTGAGGCTGCTGCCACTTACATCTCTCGCGCAGGCCAGCAAAAGAGGGCCAGCACCACACCACTCATGCCCAGCCCAAGCTCACAACTTTCTCCCTGGGCCAAGGAGTTCCTGTGGCTCCTGGGATAGCTAGATCATGCAGGGCAGTGATATTCTCTGGACTGGGATAGGCCATGCAGGTATAGCTGGGTCTGAATAACAAGCTGGATTTCTTGGGCAGTTTGTGCCTCAGCCACCCACTCTGGTCACAGACTATTGTTGTCAAAGTAGATTTATGCTGACTTCTGCAGAGAAAGCCCAACCTTTTGAGGCATTGTTGAAATCCCACTCACCCTACTCCACTCCCAGATCTCCATAGCAACATCAACTAGACCAGTGGTCGCAAACTCATGGGTCAACAGGGCGGCTTATGTGTGTGGCTGGTGAGCTGTAGTTTGCCAACCACAGGACTAAACCATACTTCTAAACAGCCTGACCTAGCTTTTCTCACAGCCTGTTTACCACCTCACTCCAAGGCCCATTGTTCCCGAGGGAAGAAAACAAGCCTGCCAAAGCTGATTACTACTCTGGATTCTACACCAAAAATTTATTAGCAAATTTCCCAAATGCACCAGGTCCCTGAGAGGTTGGTCTAAGAGCTGTAGGTTGGATGGCTGGAGTAATTTCTTTTTTTTAACTGGCTTGAGGGATGATTGACATACAAACGTTGTAGATATTTAATGTAATCAACTTAATGAGTTTGGAGTAAGTACACACCCACATGAAACCATTCATCACAATCAATACCATAAACATACTATCACCTCTGGAAGTTTCCTCACACCCTCTATGTTAAGGTTATTTTTTCCTTCTGCGGTAAAAGCACTAATATAAGATCTACCCTTACAGTACAATTTTAAGTAGATAATGCAATACTGTTAACCATAGGCACTATGTTGCACATTAGATCTCTAGAACTTAACTTGCATAACTGAAACTTTGTACTTTTTGACCAAACTTTGTACCTCTCCATTTCCTCCTCCCTGTAGGATGGATTCTTCCTCATGAGGAAGATGGGGCAGGACTCAGTTCACACAGAAGCCACCTGCTAAACTGGAACAATGAGTCTACTTCACAGGTTCCTAAGCCCCAGGAACATCATTCTGGGCACAACCCCGTGACAATAAGCCAGTAGAAATCCATTTACCTTCCTTTGGAGCAGGAATTTTGGAGTTGACTGATTTTCGCTTCTGTTTCTGAAAAACAAAACATACCACTACCATATACGGCTCTTATCAATTCTCAAGGGCCCAAGCGCCAGGCTGAAGTCCAAGGCAGTCTCAGAGAACAATCCAGCAAAGAGCCAAAAGCCAAGTGAATCCTCTGGGGCACTGGCTGCAGCCAGATGACAGGCACCTACCAGCACATTCACCTGCAGAGGCAGATTATCCTTCGGGTGTAAGGGAAGAGGCTGTAAGAGTTCTGGGTTTATTGCAGCCACGTCATCAAAATCAATCTGCAAGGAGCAAATGAAAGTTTCAATGAAATAACATAGCTTTTCAATCCAATTGCATCTCTGCAACCGAGATTCTAGACTTTACCAACTTTAAGTTCCACCAAGTACTAATAGCTATAAACAAACATTTATTCCTTAGCTGTGGTTCACCATCTAGATGGATATTGGTTTCTGATTTCCAAGCTCAGGTAGATGTCAGTGATGAGAACGAGATGAAGACAGGCAGGCAGGCAAACAGTGAGGTAGTCCACGGTAGATTTGGGGTACCTGGCTTCCCTACTGTTCTGCTGGGCAGTGGGATGCTGCTGAGCACAGTGCCCGAAACCTTCTTGCCAGCTGACATGAAGGAAGAAACAAGTTCTAACAGTCCCAGTGATAGTTAAAAAGGAAGGGCCCTCCAGGATCTTATGGGCATCGACGTGTTCCAGAGAGCTGCCACTTAACCCTAATCTACCTACATTTTTCTAACAGGCCCAGAAACTTCTTCCCCAGTCACAGCAGCCTGCTCATGCCTGAAGGGAGGTCACAATTCTAGGTTTACATACCTAGAGTCCTGAAACTCTCTAGGAACAACTCAAACATGCTAGGGTGAGAGCTTTACTTCCTACTTATTAACTCGCTTATTAAACAATTCATTACGCACCTTTGCCAATTTGACTCGGTGGATAGAGCATCGGCTTGGGGACTGAAGGGCACGTACCATGGTGCAGGCTCGCCCCTGGCTCTGGCTGGGGCATGTGTGTGGGAGGCAACCAATTGATGTGTCTCTCTCACATTGATATTTCTCTCTGCCTCTCTCCCTCCCTTCCACTCTCTCTAAAAAATCAGTGGACAGATCCAGAGAGAGAAGCATCGATCAGACCTTCAAACCTCAGAGGGAAGGTAGGGGAGGGTGGGAGTAAAGGGGAAAGATCAACCAAAGGACTTTTATGCATGCAATGGACACAGGAGGGTGAAGGCATGAGTGGAAGGGTGGTGGGGCAAAGAGGGGATAAGGACACATATGTAATACCTTACTCAATAAATAAAAATAAATGAAAAAACATTCTCAAGTGAGGATTAACAACAATAACAAAAAATGTATTATGCACAAGGCAGTAAAAAGAGATATTCAAAGATGAATTAAGACATATTACCCTGCCGAGACCGGTTTGGCTCAATGGATAGAGCGTCGGCTTGGGGAATGAAGGGTCCTGGGTTCGATTCCGGTCAAGGGCAAGTACCTTGGTTGCGGGCACATCCCCAGTGAGGGGTGTGCAAGAAGCAGCTGATTGATGACTCTCATCGGTGTTTCTAACTCTCTATCTCTCTCCCTTCCTCTCTGTAAAAAATCAATAAAATATATTTAAAAAAAAAAAAAAAAAGACATATTACCCTTCATTGAGATCCTGAATGGGGGCAGGCTGGAGGGGTAAATCAGGGGGAAATTCGGACATATGTGATACTTTCAACAATAAAGAATTATTTAAAAAAAAAAAAAAAAAAAAAAGACATATATCACCCTTGCCTTCAGTGAGCTCACATTCTAATGGGGGGAGAGAAGTCATATATACAAAGGGCGAGAAACCAAAGCAGCATGGGATAAACAAGGAAGACAGAGTAACCAAATGCAAAAACTGGCAAATTTTTCAATAACCATATGTCTATCCACTTTTTTTTAACAGTTACAGGCCCTTACTACATATCCTTCCCCCATTTCCAATCCCTAAACTCCAGAAAGCATAAACAACGTGGGAAACCAGAACCCTAATCCTAGTTCTGACACTAACTGCTTTTCACATTGATGATTAAGGGTGAACATCCCAGGAGGAAAGAGTAAGAGCGTGAAGGCAGCAAGGCCCTAGGCATGGTCACAGAGTGGGGAGCTGCTCTACTTGCCCTGGCACAAGGTATTTTGTGTGATAGAAAGAAAAAGGCTGATTGGGCCGAAACCAGTTTGGCTCAGTGGATAGAGCGTCGGTCTGCAAACTGGGGGGTCCTAGGTTCAATTCCAGTCAAGGGCATGTGCCTTGGTTGCGAGCACATCCCCAGTGGGGGTGTGTGCAGGAGGCAGATGATCAGTGTTTCTCTCTCATCGGTGATTCTAGCTCTCGTCCCTCTCTCTTCCTCTCTGTAAAAAAATCAATAAAATATATTAAAAAAAGAAAAAAAAAGGCTGATTGGGATCAGATCTTGAAAAGCTTTTGAATGCCTCACAAGAAGTTTGGACCTTATTCTACAGGCAATACGTGAGACACAACAAGAGCTGTATTTCTAAACAAACAACAACAAACCAAAACAAATCAAAGAACTAGCAGCTGGTTGAAAGAAATTTTTAGAAATTTCTTTATTCAAAGAGCAGATAATGTAAAGTATCGATCCATTTATTTCTCCAACATAGCACATAAATATCTGCATAAGGTGCTATCCTAAGCAAGCCCTGTACATCCACCTCATTAAGCTCCAGGAACGAGGGCCCGGTCTGTCTCACCCACACCTCTGTATCACCAGCACCACACAGTGTCTGCCTTTTTTATGGCATTGTATTTTCTCTTGTGTGGCACTTTGAAACCTGCACAAAAGGATTTGTTGACTAAAGCCTCACAACCACGCTATGAGGTTGATGTTATCCTCATCTTATAGATGAGGAAACTGAATTTTTCTGAGAGAGGCAGAAACATGCCTGAGAACACACAAAGTAGCCGCAAAGACAGACTAGAACCCAGGTTTTCACACTCCTGGCCTGGTGACCTCTTCATCACACCTCAATGCCTCTAAAGCATAAATGTCTTAGTCACAGCTCTCCTCCCCTCAAACTTCTTCCCAGGCACCCCACTGGCTACAGAATAAAACCTCAAACATCAAACATCTTAGTGCCAGAGATGAATCCCAGCAGCCTGAGCCTTCTACGCTTGTAGCCAGCTTCTCCATTAGCCCCCATGAGGGCCACCTGCTACTTTCCTGCCCCTCCCCCAAGCCCAGCTCACCTCGATGAGCCCCACCTCAGCTGCCCTCGCACTATTCACCTGCACCGTTTATCACAGGTTGCCTTGTTATGTGGTGTTTCAGAAACATACTTTTGTCTTCTCAAGTAGGTATTCAATTTTGCTCCCCAAACAATTATCATATGTATTCAGAAGCTAGTTTACATAAGCAAGGTTTGAAGATTCTGTACAGTTTGCTTTCTACAAACACCAGAAATCGTTGATTGCTGCAATTCAGAATAGGCCTTCCTAAATAAAATCCCAATGCATCCAAAGAGGATCATATTTGAAATCAGGAAAGACAACACAGCAGCAAAAACAGGCTCTCAGCCCGGCTGGTGTGGCTCAGTGGTTGAGCAATGACTTGTGAACTAGGAGGTTAACAGTTCGATTCCAGGTCAGGGCACATGCCAGGGTTGCAGGCTCAATTCTCAGTAGGGGACGTACAGGAGGCAGCTGATCAATGATTCTCTCCCATCATTGATGTTTCTATCTCTCTCTCCCTCTCCCTTTCTCTCTGAAATCAATAAAAATATGTTAAAAGAAAAACAGGTTCTTGCCTGGCCAGCATGGCTCAATGGTTGAGTGTAATCGATATGAACCTATGAACCAGGAGGTCAAGGTTCAATTCCCAATCAGGGAGCATGCCTGGTATGGGGCATGCAGGAGGCAGCCAATCAATGATTCCCTCTCATCACTGATGTTTCTCTCTCTCCCTTCCTCTCTGAAATCAATAAAAATATATTAAAAAACAAAACAACAGGCTCTTGCACAAGGTTATAATCCCCGGTCAGGGCACATACAAGAAGCAACAAAAGAAAAGAAAAATAAAGCAACCAATCAATGTGTGAGTAACTGGAACAACAAGTGGATGTTTCTTTCCCTCCCTCTCTTTCCCTAAAACCAATCAATAAAAAATGTTTTAAAGGCCCTCACCAGTCCCATTTTCATACAGATCTTCCACTTACCTCTTTCCCCTTTGTGGCACCTCCTTCTATCCATTCCACTGAAACACAGGCTTTCTCCAGGTCCACAGTCCTTACATTGGCACTGTGAATTAGGCCTAGAATATAAAAAGGCCAGAGTTACCCATTTTTTTCACTTTTAAGATCCCCCAGAGAGCCCCTTCAGGGTGGCTCAGTGGTTGAGCATGGATCCATGCACCAGGACTGGGGCTCTATTCTCCGTCAGGGTACATGCCCGGGTTGTGTACTCAATCTCCAATGGGAGCCGTGCAGGGGACAGCTGATGGACGTTTTTCTCTCATCGATGTATCTCTATCTCTCTCTCTCTCTCTCTCTCTCTCTCTCTCTCTCTCTCAAAATCAATAAAAACATTTTTAAAAAGATAAAGATCCCACAGCGACTCTCAATGAGGAGTTGACCTGAAGGAAAGGACAGCTGCCCTTCTTTCTTTTAACAGGAGACAAACTTCCTGGCACTTCACCCATAGGACATCCCATAGTGAGGTGGGCAGAGAAAAAGTCTTAAAACCGAATTGCAGGGGATAAGGATTCAGCACTGAGGCTCTAGCGCCCTCGGGTTTCCCTACCTTGATCCTGACGGTTCGAGAGAGAGAGAGAGAGAGAGAGAGAGAGAGAGAGAGAGAGAGAGCGAGCAGAATTGCAATCTCCTGAAGAGCAGGGATCCGTCTTGTTACACTGAATCCCAGCGCCTGACACACTGCAGGTGCGCAATATTTATCGGAGAGTAGAGGGGCGTGACAGCCGAGGTCCCTGCGAGACCAGGGCAGTCTCGGGAGAATGTTGGAGAGGAGTTGCTCTAGCAATCCTGACTCCACTGGCCCCGAGGAGCCCGCCTTCTCCCAGAGGACCGGAGGGGGCCAACCGCCAGGCAGGGACCCCGGCCCCGGTGGGGAAGACGGATGCCGTGCAGAGACCCGGATTGTGGGAGGGGAATCCCCTACAGTGTCTCCGGGCCCTGCCGTTTGGGGAGGGGCCGTAATGTCAGCCGTCTCCGAGCCCACGGCCCCCCGGGCCTCGGGGTTCCGGGTCCCGCCCCTCACCGTTACTGCGTTGGATCTTGATGTCGAGACCGGGAAACAAGCGGGCCTGAAGCGCCGAGTCCATTGGGCAGTTGGTCGGCAGATGCGCCGGAAAAAAACACACACCGAGAACCTCCGACTCCCCTAAATCTGCGAAGTCTTAACGCCCTTAAACCGCCGCCGCAGTTTAAACCCCGCGCGCCAGCGTCCCGGAGCTCCGTCACGCCGTCGCCGGTCAGCCGCGCCCCGCGGAGCCTTCTGGGAAATGTAGTTTCCCGTCGGTCTTCCGGCGCCAGGGACCGCTCACTTGTGGGGCAGCACCTCTGAGCGCAGGGACTGCTGGGAACTTCGGGAGGCCGTGGGCGGGCTGTTTCTCCTTCCGGGCTTTATAGCCAAGGGCTCCTGGGCTGCTGGGTTCCCCAAACTGGGAGCTTCCATGAGGTGTGTGGTGTTTGAGCGAGGGCTCTGGGGACCTACAGGACTCCGGCTCCTTCAGTTACCAGCTCAGTGACCCCAGACAAGTTAGAAACATGACTCGGTTTCCTTCTTTGCACAATGGGGAGCATGTTTCTTCCCGCGGGAACTTAACTGCGAGTTTAAGAGAGGAACTTATAGTTGAAGTGCATGGAAGACACAGATTCACTAGATATTGTGTCTACCACGTGCTAGGCATGATGCTAAGTGCTAGAGGTAGTTCTTTTTTTGTTTTTGGTGTTTGTTTTTGTTTGTTCTGGAGATAGCAGTTCTTGTTCTCCTTGACTTCACATTCTAATATGAATAGAGGACAAACAAAGTAACAAGTAAATTACGAATTGTGGTAAGTGCTCTGAGGGAAACTGAGAGCTGGAATAGAGAGTAATAGAGGAACCTACTTTAGGGGACGTGGCCAGAAAAGAAATCTTTGAGGAGATAATTTAACCTGAGTCTACAGAACCAGGAGGAACAGGCCATATCAGAATGGAGGGCCCTGAGGTGGAGAGCCTTTCAGATTCTGATTTGAGAATGGTGTGTGCAAAGTCTCTGAGTTAGGAAAAATCTTGGTTTGGAAGAACCCAGGAGCCAGTGGGCTGATAGGCAGTAGGTGAAGTTATTTGCCATCTATCTGGGAGCTTGTAGTAGTGGTTTTGGCTTTTATTCTAATGAGAAGTCATTTAAGTTCTAGCAGAGGGACAAGAGCTGAGTAACATTCGGTGCTATGCATATAAGACTTGCTGTGTGGAGAACTGACTTGAAGAGGATAAGACTAGAAGTGAGACCATTAGCAGGCAAGAGCGGATGCCTGCCTGGCCTAGGAGGTGACAATGGAAAGGAGCCAAGAGAAAGGACTACAGGTGCATCTTGTTTGGGAAATAGAGTGAATGGGCCTTTGCTGATCGGTTTCAATCTAAAATGAAACCAGGGGATGTGAAATGGAGATTCTCACACGTGCCCTCAGAAAAGGAACCTGAGAACTGAGAGGCTGATTTCTCATAAATGCCTGATTTACCGAAGATGGAGTCTTATCTCCGGAACGGTGACCACCCACTCAGAGTCTCTCCTCTTCCTCAAGTCAGTGAAGTACTGTGTGGACTCTGGCTGAATTTCCCCCTCTTTGTGCTGCTTGTCCATATATACATCCTGTCCCAAACCCTCAACAGACTAGCCTGAAGCTTGCTACAGCATGGGTTTCCAAAATTGTAATTCCCCTGCTGTTCCCTAAAACAAACTCAATTTCTGGTCATCTGAGTTTGCTTCAGTCTACCTCATTACTTAGGTTGACAGGTTTGGTGTGGGGTGAAGGAGAAGGAGTAATCATGGATGACTCTTGGTTTCTGGTTAGAGACACACACTGAGTGGATGATAATTTATTTTTGAAATGAGGGTGAAGGAAACGAGTTGGGGGGGGGGGGGTTCATTTTGGTCGTTTCGTCAGATGTCCGGAAGACTTCAGAGTAGAGATGTCAAATAAGCAGTTGGATATACAAGCTCGGAGTTCAAGGAGAGATCAAGGCCAGAGACAGGTTTGGCAGTCATTTTATGCCATTTGGACTCAGGGAATTGGAGGAGATATTCTAGGGAGGGAGTGTAGTTGGAGGTGAGAAGACCCATAACTGAGCGTTGGGGCATGCCAACACTTTGAGGTAGGGCAGAGGAAGAGGAGCAAAGGAGATGAGATTAGGGTTGTTTGAAGAGATGAGGAAAACAGGGCTTGGCCCTAACTGGTTTGACTCAGTGGATAGGAGAGTGGCCTTCGGACTGAAAAGCCCCAGGTTTGATTCCGGTCAAGGGCACATGCCTGGGTTGTGGGCTCAATCCCCAGTGAGGGACTTGCAGGAGCCAGCCAATCAATGATTCTGACTCATCACTGATATTTCTATCTCTCCCTCTTCCTTCCTCTCCAAAAAATCGATAAAAATATATTTTTTTTAAAAAAGAAATTAATATTGAATGGTCCAACAAAAATAGTCAAATCCATAGGAAACTCAAAGTTCCTAAAGTTGAGAATTCCTTTTTGGGACTTCTCTGTTCCAAAAAGAACTGAGAAGTCAGAGCATCAAGGGGAGTCAACTCTAGAAAGGCCCATGATCAGAATAATAAAACCCTTAAAATACGAAATCACCAGCCCTAACCGGTTTGGCTCAGTGGATAGAGCTTCAGCCTACGAACTGAAGGGTTCCAGGTTCGATTTCTGTCAAGGGCATGTACCTTGGTTGCAGGCACATCCCTAGTATGTGCAGGAGGCAGCTGATTGATGTTTCTCTCTCATTGATGATCCCTCTCCCTTCCTCTCTGTAAAAAAATCAATAAAATACATATTTTTAAAAACCATTAGATTAGGAACACTTAGTTATGCTAGGAACTCTAGCATATTACCATGGACATACCACCATGACAGAGAGAAAAAAAGTCCTCCCCTTCTCACACTGGTAAAATAAATTCTATGTACAATCCGTATGCTTAATGATATAAAAGATAGCAAGTATAAAAAGTAAATCGTCAGCGGCTGCCAGGCTGGGAGCGGCCAGGCCCGGGGGAGCAGGCGGGGCTGGTGCGGCCAGGCCCGGAGCAGCGGCTGCCAGGCTGGGAGCGGCCAGGCCCGGGGGAGCAGGCGGGTCGGGTGCGGCCAGGCCCGGAGCAGCGGCTGCCAGGCTGGGAGCGGCCAGGCCCGGGGGAGCAGGCGGGTCGGGTGCGGCCAGGCCCGGAGCAGCGGCTGCCAGGCTGGGAGCGGCCAGGCCCGGGGGAGCAGGCGGGTCGGGTGCGGCCAGGCCCGGAGCAGCGGCTGCCAGGCTGGGAGCGGCCAGGCCCGGGGGAGCAGGCGGGTCGGGTGCGGCCAGGCCCGGAGCAGCGGATGCCAGGCTGGGAGCGGCCAGGCCCGGGGGAGCAGGCGGGTCGGGTGCGGCCAGGCCCGGAGCAGCGGCTGCCAGGCTGGGAGCGGCCAGGCCCGGGGGAGCAGGCGGGGCTGGTGCGGCCAGGCCCGGAGCAGCGGCTGCCAGGCTGGGAGCGGCCAGGCCCGGGGGAGCAGGCGGGGCTGGTGCGGCCAGGCCCGGAGCGGCGGCTGCCAGGCTGGGAGCGGCCAGGCCCGGGGGAGCAGGCGGGTCGGGTGCGGCCAGGCCCGGAGCGGCGGCTGCCAGGCTGGGAGCGGCCAGGCCCGGGGGAGCAGGCGGGTCGGGTGCGGCCAGGCCCGGAGCGGCGGCTGCCAGGCTGGGAGCGGCCAGGCCCGGGGGAGCAGGCGGGTCGGGTGCGGCCAGGCCCGGAGCGGCGGATGCCAGGCTGGGAGCGGCCAGGCCCGGAGGAGCAGGCGGGGCTGGTGCGGCCAGGCCCGGAGCAGCGGCTGCCAGGCTGGGAGCGGCCAGGCCCGGGGGAGCAGGCGGGGCTGGTGCGGCCAGGCCCGGAGCAGCGGCTGCCAGGCTGGGAGCGGCCAGGCCCGGGGGAGCAGGCGGGGCTGGTGCGGCCAGGCCCGGAGCGGCGGCTGCCAGGCTGGGAGCGGCCAGGCCCGGGGGAGCAGGCGGGTCGGGTGCGGCCAGGCCCGGAGCAGCGGCTGCCAGGCTGGGAGCGGCCAGGCCCGGAGCAGCAGCAGCCAAGTCCAGAGCAACTAGGTCGGGAGCGACAGTGACCAGACCCGGAGCAGCTGGTTGTGGAACGAACCAGAGCAACAGAGGCCAGGCCCTGAGCAGCCAGGCCCAGAACAGCTCGCTCCTTGCCTGCCCCTGCCCCACGGCTGCTTCTCAGACATGGCTGGAAACTTTCGTGGGAACTTGAGGGTCTGCTGAATCAAGTGATGAAGGCTTAGATCTGGATGTGTTGAGTTAGTTTAGGACTGGGGTGTTGATCTGTGAGTGTCTTGGGTGGGGCCTGGATGAGGCTGGTTGACCTAGTGGGAAATGTCTTTTGTGTGAAGTGTATCATTGGGCATGTGGAGGTATTATTGATATGAGAAAATGCTAAGTAACTGATTTACTATCTGAAAAGGGATTTACTATTGGGGAAATTGAGGGAAGAAGAGACTGAACATAAACTGCACCTATGGATGAGGACAATGGGGGATGAAGGGGGGACGGAGGGTGGGGTGGGAACCTGGTGGAGGGGGGAAGAAATGAGGAACCTTTGTAATAATATGAACAATAAAGATTGATTTAAAAAAAAAAATAAAAAAAAAATAAAAAGTAAATCGTAAAAGGATAGAGCAATATGTGAAAAAAGAACAGACATTTGTAAAAAAAAAAACTTTAAAAAATACAGCCACTGAAAATAAAAAACAAAACTATACTGCAATTCCCAATGGGAAAAAAAAAAGATTCAGTGGGTGCTAGGTAAAAAGGTTACTGAGTATAGGATGCTGCATGGTGACAAGAGTATTGCTCCACATCCTATTTCCATTGTCAATTTGCCAAGGAAAAGCATAGCTGTGAAAAAATGTGGTGATGATCACTGTAGCCCAGTGATCAAGCATAGCATCGCTTGGAGTGGGGCAATCTGCCATCCTCTGTCTCCAAGTGCACGGGTCACTCAGGAGATAATAATGCCAAAAATGCAAACCCTAAATCCAGCCCAGCCTTAGATTTCACTTCCTGTTGCCAATAGAAACGGGGTGGAGGAACAAACTAA